CCCCACACGACAGCTAATCTTGCTCTCTTACATCTGTTCATCAGATGCCCTTTCCAAAACCAGTCCTGCAAAACGGTACAGCACATTGGTAAACAGCCTGGCGGTTTCTTACAAAACTAAATCTTGGCTGGCCATTTGTTACAACCATCACACTCCTAGGTATATTACCCAAGTAAAGTGAAAATGTCCCTCCATATAAGTGATTATAGCAGCTTTATGCATAATTGCCCAAAATTGGAAGGAGTGCTGGTGTGGCGCTACGGGCTGCAAAGTCGGTTTGAACGGCATGGTCGGAGGTTTAAGCTCACGAGTCGTTCCTGGTGGTGATGTGCTGTGGAGTTGGTTCCTACTCATAGTGACCCTGTACAGGGTTTCCGAGGCTGTAAATCTTTACGGGAGCAGAAAGCCTCATCTTTCTCCCATGGAACAACTGGTAGTTTCCAACTGCTAACCTTGAGATTAGCAGCCTGATTCAACCACTGTGCTGGGAAACCCTATACAGGGTCACTGTGAGTCAGAACTGATTGGAAGGCATTTGACAACAGCAACTAGATGACCTTCAATAGGTGAAGAGGTAAACTGTGGTTGTTCTTCAGTCAATGCCAACTCATGGTCCATAAGGTTTTCTTTGTGGGAACAGATAACCAGACCTTTCTTCTGAGGTACTGATGAGACTGGAACTGCCAACATTTTTGCAACTAGTCTAGAGCACACGTTGTACAGCCACACTCTGGACCATTATTCAAAGATACAAATAAATGAGTTTTCAAGCTATAGAAAGACATGTTGTTAGGTGCTGTCCAATCTGTTCCAATTCTACGACTCCAAGGACAACAGAATGAAATACAACTGATTCTGCACCATCTGCATAGCTTTTGCTATGTTTGAACCCATTCTTGCAGCCACTGTATCTGTCATCTTGTTGGGGTTCGTCACCATTTTCGCTGACACTTTACTACAGATAATGTCTTTTTCCAGGGATAAAAAATCCAAAGTACATGATACAAAGTCTTGCCAACCTTGCTTCTAAAGAGCATTCTGACTGCATTGCTTCTGAGACATTTATTTGTTCTGCTGGCAGTCCATGGTCTATTCAATATTCTTGATCAACACTTTAATTCAAAGGCAAGATTATTCTTCTGTCTTCTTTATTCGTCATCCAGCTTTTGAATGCATATGAGGTGATTGGAAATACTATGGTTTGGATCAAGTTCATGTAATCCTCAAAGTGACATCTTTGTTCTTAAACATTTTACGAGGTTTTTTGCAGCAAATTTGCCCAGTGCAATCTGTTGTTCAATTTCTTAAGTGTTGCTTCCATGGACATGAATTGTGGATCCAAGCAAAATGAAATCCTTGAAAACTTCAATATTTTCACTGTTCATCATGATGTTGCTTACTGGTCCAATTGTGAGGACTTGTTTGTGTATGTTTTGTTGTTGTTGTTGTTGTTGTTGTTGAGGGGTGATCCATACTAAAGGATTAATCTTCATCAGTAAATGCTTTAAATATTCTCCACTTTCAGTAAGCAACATGTTATCGGCATACTGCAGGCTGTTAATGATGCTGCAATTCATCCTTCAATCCTGATGCCACATTTTCCTTCATATAATCCAACTTCTTGGATTATTTACTCAGCATACATTTTGAATAAGTATTGGATACAACCCTGATGTACACCTTTCCTAATTTAAAACCTGAATGATTGCCTATGTACAGTTCCACATTAGCACAATTAAGTGTTCTGAAATTCCCATTCTTGGAAATGTTGCCCATCATTTTCTATGACCCACACAGTAGAATACCCTTGCACGGTCAATAAAACACAGGTAAACAGCTTTCTGGAGTCCTGGTGTGGTGCTGTGGGTTAATGGACTAGGCTGCAAAGGTTGGAGGTTGTATATAGAGTCGTTATGGGGCGGAACTGACTTGACTGCACTTAACAACAACAACAACAAAACATCTTTCTGGTATTTTTTTGCTTGCAGCCAAAATCCATCTAAGATCCATCTGATATTAGCAATGATATCCTTTGTTTCACAGTCCTAGTGTGGTGCTGTGGGCTAATGCGCTAGACTGCAAAGTTGTTTTTGAAGCACAAGGTTAGAGGTTCAAGCTCACCAGCTGTTCCTCGGAAACTCTATACAAGGTTGCTGTGGGTCAGAACTAACTCGGTGGCACTTAACAACAATAATAATCCTTTGTTTCAGATACTCTTCTGAATCCGGCTTGAATTTCTCTCAGTCCCTTGTCCCTGTACTAGTGCAACAGCTTTTGAATTGTTGTTATTGTTGTTGTTAGGTGCCAACGAGTCAGTGTTAACCCATAGTGACCCTCTGCACAACAGAATGAAACACTGCCTGGACCTGGGCCAACCTCACAATTGTTGCCACGCTTGAGCATATTGATGCTGCCTGCCACTTTGCCACTCCATCTCGCTGGGGATTGTCCTCTTTATTTTGGACCCTCCACATTACCAAACATGATATCCTTCTCCAAAGACTGGTCCCCCCTGACAATATGTCTGAAGTATAAGAGATGAAGTTTGGCCATCCTG